TGTGTGTGTGGTGTATGTGTTGTGTGTGTGTGTGTGTGTGTGTGTGTTTGTATGCGTACATCTACTCTAGGATTTTAATAAATTCTTCCGTTTGATTATAATTCAGCGTAAGGAGCCAGTGTATATGATATACTTACGCATTATTCTTCCTTTCGCATTATTCCTATCGTTACTTTTTGCTGCAATTCAATTTAAACATTATAATAATTATGTAAGATGTATGTAAGAATCCTACTAGTGTCTGTTATTCTTTCACGCGAAAACGGCTGGACTGATTTGGTTGAAATGTAGATCGGTAATGTAGATAGGTGAAACCCTGGATTAACAAAAAGGCTGCTTTTTCTCAACATACCTACTCCTACACGGGCGGAAGCTAGTCTATACTACTTAATATTACAAAGAGGTAAAATTTGTAAGTTTGTATTTAGGGGGTAATCTTTGGAACCACTGGTCGGATTGCGAAAATTCTTTCACTGATAGGTAGCTGCAATTAGGGTTGCCAGGTCGTTAGGCCTTATAGCCGGACAGACCAGCCCGTTTAGCCGGACATTTAGCTAAAAAGGCCGGACACACTACATTCTTAAGGATTTTTTATCTCAGTATTAATAGGTACGACAAGATTTAATGTAAATCAAGCATTTTGATTATTGTCATAAAGTCATAAATCTTGTTGAATTCTTATGAAATAATTAATAAGTCTAAGTCTTTGCTTCACTCCAGCCATGTTTGGTGTTTCGTTTGCGATTGTGAAAAGTTTAGGTAAAAAGCCTAACAAAAGCCGGACAGGCCGGACACCGTTTATTTTGGCCGGACTAGCAATCAAAAAGCCTACCTATGTCCGGCTTTATCCGGACGCCTGGCAACGCTAGCTGCAATGTTCCTCAGTGCTAAAGGCTATAAAACATCACGCTACGATCAAATGGAGCAGAGCAGCGGGTGAAACCGAGCGAGAGTACCTAGTATTATATAAGTTTCATCTCATTAAACACTAAGCTATGGCACCGCACCTAATGACTTTGCTGGGGTCGGGAGTCCATGGACGGCACTGATTGCTTACCATCAGGTTATCTGTCTGCATGCCTCCTTATTCTATAAACAACGTAGATATTTAAAGATTATTTCATCAAATCCCGAGCGAACGCCGGCGTTCGCACCTACTGTCTCGAGTTACTACGATTGAAAGGTCAAACATCAGACATTGTAGAAATTTCCTTAAATAAAAGGATACAGTGCATGCTAAATAAACTTACCGATTCCTTTGTGATCTACTTGATCTGTTAATAAATTATTTTTATCGTTTAATATCTGTACTTTTAAATCTAAAAATGAATCGAAATAAGGTTGGTAAGCGCATAACTCAACAACGCGTGGACCAATTCCTTGGATTCTTTTTTTGTTGGATTTGTAAGTTTCTAAAGAAGGTTCTTACTTACGAAAAAAAGAACATAAAATTAGTGTTAAAATCGGGAAATAGCAACCAGGAAAATAGTTTCGATACCCGTGCGAAGCAAGGGCGGATCGCTAGTAAATTAATAAAAGTCTATTTGGGACTGATTTTTCAATAGTCAGATAAATGTTATCTGAGGAATAAAATTGTTGCTGTCACTGTCTTATACAAACATTCTGACGCGACAGCAGATCATAATTATTCTCCAGGCAACTTTTATCTAACCATTGAAAAATCAGCCAATAATAAATTTAAAAAAAATGAATCACAAAATTGTCACTAAGCGTACCTAAACACGAAAAGACATAACACCATAGATTCTTTAAAATCTGAGAATGACTCTTATTAATAGATAGTAATGTGTTAATAAATGATTTATTAATCTTTAAATTATTAATGTAGGTATTATTTTGTTAATAATAAATAAATAAAATAAATGCTTATTTTACTTACAACTTACGCCCGGTAATTGTTGGTAGTTTATTTCTGATGTTTTTGTAATTCATAAAAAGAACAAAATATCATAGATAAGTATTATTTTTAATTGGAATTAATTTATTAAGACTTTCCAAGGATAAAATTTTATTTTTCTTAATAAAATACATATGTAGAATAAAAACATACCCATTTTATTATGTTTTTCTTGTTTATCTTTTAAATGAATTAATAATCAATAAAGTTACAGAAACAAACATCATATTAATATGTTTTTTTAACCAATAAAAATGCTTACAATCTTTCTTCTTTGATGAGGTTTCTTCAACGCTAGATAATTTTTCGCCGTACGCTAAATCAAAAGACATATTTGAAAGAAAAACAATTATCTGAATTAAAAACCTATTTTACTTTAAACTAGCCTCAACTTCACACAGGTGCTATGGTAATACTAAACTCCTCCACTATTTAATCGATGTTATTATACATTTAGAATTTTAGACCGTCATCTTCAATCACTCTATCTAAAAAAAACAGCATCAAAAGTCGCGTAGTTTTAAAGATTTAAGCGTACATAGGGACATAGGGACAGAGTTGATGTGATGTTGGAAGATACTAAAATTTATAAATTTGTCTTCCATAGTAGTTTTAGGGCTGATTTTTCAAGTCACATAAATGTTATCTGAGGAATAAAATTGTTGCTGTCACTGTCTTATAAAAACATAGCATCATAATTATTCCCCAAATAACTTTTATTTATCTAACCTCTGAAAAATCAGCCCATATTGAAGTAGAATTCCCACTTTTTAATCTTTCTGCCCAAGAAGATAGAGGCCTTTTGATGTAGGATCATCTAAGTACGTACCTAACAATAATTAAAAAAGAAACGTTTCGCTAGTGAAATGAAAACAAAGGTATGTTGCCTAATTAAGAATTTTAGTGTGTCTTTTTGTGTAAAACTTGTAAGTAAGTAAAAATGTAAAAATCAGGTTTAAATCGGTGTTAGCTTATCAAATACCTAAATTTAAATAATCTTTGTTTATACATAGGTATTTTATACGACTTCTTTAATATACCTAAAACGACGTAGGTACCAAGATTGTTTTACTTTTAGATAACCATCTAGTGACAAAACGACTTCATATTTTTTAAAACGTCATCAAGATACTACTTTGGCGCCATCTGGAGAGTATAATAGGTACGATAATATTCATTTAATGTCCCTTAGCGACCTCTACCGTCTTTTAGACTTTTGTGGTCGATTTTACTCTATTTTTCTTATTAAAATTCAACTTATGACAAAAATATTATTAAAAACGAAATACCTAAGTCCAAATCTTTAACTTTTAATGCTGTAATAAAAAACAAAAATAAATTTTTAATCATATATTTTTTTTTTTTTTGTTATATGTACCTGCGTAAACAGGAATGTTAAGAATGAAAAAAATCGTTTTGAATATAACTTTTATAAAACACCTGTTTGAACCTCATAATTTCCTGTACTTGGAGTTAGTAGAAATATCTGAAAATAAATATAAAAAGAATACTTAATATAGGTACAACAATGGAATTGACATTGTGACATAATGATTAGGTATATAGATAAAATAAATACTAGACGGCGAGCAAGAGTAGCTCGCCGTCCGACCAGATCAGAACCAGACCCTAGCGCACGCCTCAAAGAACCAACAGATCACCACAGATGGGGCCTATTAGGTCAGGCTGATGTTCAGCAACTATCAATAGGCGTCATCGAATGTTTACGATCAAGTGATAGGAAAACATCTAGTTTGCCATGTTAAAAAACAGAAAAGGTGACACAATTAAGCAGTCAGTAAGGCACTTAAGATGCTTCATATCTTGTACTAGCTACTCTCGCGTGGTTTCACCCTCTGCTCGGCTCCATTTAATCGTAGCGTGATGTTTTATAGCCTGTAGCACTCGGGAACCTTGTAGCTATCTGTCAGTGAAAGAATTTTGGCGATCCGACCAGCGGTTCCAAAGATTACCCCCTACATACAAAATTACAAACTTACAAATTTTACCTCTTTATAATATTAGTATAGAATTATAGTTGTGCACTTGGCTACATTGCTTGCTTACCATCAATAAGGCCGTAAGCTGTTGTTGCTACCGATAGCAGTGTAATCAAAAGTCATTTTAAATATCAAGTAATAATAATATGACAAATCGTACCAAAACACAAGAAATAGAATTTATAAAATGTATCCTTAGCTCCATGTCGTTTGGTAAAAGGAACAACTAAAAACTAACTCATAAATTACTTTGAATACTAGAAAAAATATAAAAAATTGTTGCCACACAGGTGAATATATCGCACCTAACGTTAAAATTAAACCATCAAAATGTTTTATTACTTATTCTGTGTTACCAATAATTTATATCGATTTTACTATAAGAAACAAATCAACTTAGGCACTTGCTATGAATATCGTAAGAAATAAAACTAGAAATTTATATTAAACACGTGGGCTAGTCGAATTTCCCCGACCTGCAAATCCTTAAAAGGCCGGCAGCGCACTTGTAGGTAACTCCTCCACAACTTACCATCAGGTTCGTCTAAAGTCCTAAACATTCATAACTTTATCCCACAAAAAAAAACTTTGAAGACATAGGCATTGAATTTTCTACTATCAGATACTTTCCATCCACTACTGGACACCAAATGGTAGGGATTAAAAGGGCATTTGAGGATTGAGAGTGTGGAGTAGGATCGTGTTACTCCACTGACTACCTTATCACTGCTCTTCTTTAATGTAAAGACAATAGATATACAGAAAAGAATTTATGCTTATTGAATCAATTACATAGCTTAAGCCTGTTTTTAGAGAATTTAAAACTTATCAAAACTGTCTACGCGCAGCTTTCATTTAGGGGTTACCTTAGGGCATAACTAAATTCCAGAAAAAACAGAGCCTTTTCTAAACATGTTCCTGCAAACATACTGCTCCACCTTTTCCACAAAAAGTATCCACCCCTATCATTAAAAAAACAGACTCATCCAATGGCTTTCATATCGACGGCTTAAGAGCCACTTAGATTGGCTTCTACTTCATACAACCAAGCAACTAATTAACATTTTGTTTTTTTGTTTCAGCATCATGATCATCACGAACACCACGACCACGGCAACGGTAACCATGATCACGGAGATCATCATCATCACGAGCCTGGCATGCCCTTCGATTTCTCTTACCAGGTCAGTTTTTTTTATGTAATAGGTCGGCAAACGAGCAGACGGATAACCTGATGGTAAGCAACCAGCGCCGCCCATGGACACCCGTAACAGAGGAGTTACGAGTGCGTTGCCGACCTTTTAGGGATTTGGAGATTTAGGAACTGGGGAGGGATTGGGAAGGGGAAGGATTGGGCCTCCGGTAACCTCACTAACAAGGCGAAACACAACACTGTGGTTGTTTCACGCCGGTTTTCTGTGAGGCCGTGGTATCACTCCGGTCGAGCCGGCCCATTCGTGCCGAAGCATGGGTCTCACACACTTAAGTTCTTCTAACCTTAGTCTTTAAGGTTCAATTCAGAAAATATTGGAACTCTAAAATGTATGTATACCTGCATATCATTTCAGAGCCTATCTTTTTTTATGTGTTGTGCGGCCAAATGAGCAAGGCTTACCTAATCGTAAGCAATCGGCGCCAGAAGGGCCTCGCGCCTCAAGAATTTTTTTTCTCTTTCGTGTTCAGGTCGCCATAAAAAAGGGCCTCGTAAAATCTGTCTTAGCTACATTAAAATTATAGGTCTTGCCTAGCCACTGATCATCGCCGACAGTCAGTCGCTTTCAGTACATTATGGTGCTGTCCCGGCCTGAAGCAGGATAAGGAACGTAGCGGTGTTTAGTCAGTAAGAGTCGGACACTTTCACCCCACCCTGGGCGGGAGAAGTCATATGATGAAAAAAATAAGCATGTTGCTATTTTGTTTTATTTAATTTGTATTTTTTGTTATTTTTCTGTTTTCTTTTTTTGTATTGCTTTGTTATACACAAGGTCTTGGGTCGCATGCATTTCTTCTATGAAACTACAGCATAATCTGCAGCAAACTCATCAGGAATAAATGCAGTACCTACCTACATATGTCCCTCTGTTTCTGTATTAATGTTTTCTTATGTACTTTTAATGTGTTGCGTATTCATAATAACTAACTTTATAGGTCAATAGTTTCAAGTTAATGGAACACCCTTTCAATTCTGTTTTCAACCACCAGGTGGCGGAAGACGGCAATGATTACAGCCACAACGCGATCTCCGACGGTGACATAACCAGGGGAGAATACAGAGTGGCCCTGCCCGATGGTCGTACACAGATCGTGAAATACACAGCTGACTGGAAGAACGGATTCAACGCTGAGGTTAGTACCGCTACTTGACAATAGATGACGCTGTTTTAATTTTCAATTCCCTTATGGAGCCACAATTTGATGTTTCGTGGGTGTGGTGTGTATGTGAAATTATATATTTGTAAATGCAGTCACGGCACAGGAGAAAATTCTAGTGTAGGGCAACGTTTTTTTAAAAAGAAAAAATACTTCTCAAAAGATAACATTATATTTTTGGTTTCAGGTTACATACGAAGGTGAAGCGAGGTACCCTGACCAGCCAGCTGGCGGCTACGGCAGCGGCAGTGCGTCAGGAAACGGTTACGGCAGTGGAAGCGCATCAGGCAACGGATACAACAGTGGATCCGGCAGCACTGGCGGGCAAGCCTACGTGCCACCGAGCCAAGGAGGCGGCTACCAATATTAGACATAACCCCCAACGATTACGCAAGTTTTCAACGAACTGAAGAATTTATTTCTTACTAAAATTACGCGATAATTTACTTTAGTCGATTATTTTACTAGTAGAATAGAATGATCCCCTCTCTATAACTGTCAACGTGACAATTTAAGACAAATTTTACCGTTTCGTTTAGCACTGAAATCTTAAGAGTAATATGAAATTTGTTCCAGCATAAGAGAATACAGAAAAATAAACTCGCGTAATATTAGTATGAAATATTGTGTCCAACACGTCTGTTAATAAATTACCTTGTGCTGCTAATATTCTATAAGACGTACAGGATTTTAATAAAACCTTTATTTACAAATGGCATGCCCACAACATCAGAAAAAGTCGACTAAAGTGTCTAATTAAAATCCTGTGCGTCGTAAAGATTTTAACAGTTTAAGTATGTATTTGTTTTTAATATAATACCTTTACATGTTAAGATGATAGTATTTTATTAACATAGTTACCGAAATATAGTTACCAATTGTTATAATTAAATTTATTATAAAAATTACTTCACTAGCTAGGTAATCAATGCTAAAAAACTGGGCAGATGATCCTTTATTTTCTTGTTTCCCTAAAAATCTATGCAATTAATTATGGAGAAGCCTGGCCATATGTACCTAGTTGAGTTTATTTATGAGAGTAGGTACATTATGTATACTGCTAGCTTTACTTTTTTACCTATATTGTCTATGTAGCTCTTTAATGTAAAATAGTATAAATAAATAATAAATACCTTTTATAATATAAAAAAGGAAGCTAGAAACCATATTGTGATGATTAAAAAAAGACAAAATTGCTTGTAATAGTTTTTAATTAATAATACTCATTACACTGCCGTATTTTGTATATTTATTGTATAGGATAGAGGAGTAAATTTGACAAATCATTGTTGAAATGTGAAATGTCCTTTTGTACCTTATTTTTTTATAAAAATAAATATAAGCTACCATACAGTTATTCATGAAGAGTTTTAATACTTTTTTCCAACTAAATAGTTTTTTTTTCTTAAATAACAACTTACTACTTAATGCATACAATCTCACATTTATCCACAATTGGTAAAACTAGTGGAGCTATTCTCAGTGTTAACTGAGAAAAAACACAATTAAGCAGATCAATATTTTCAATAACTTAAGTATGTATTATGATAGTTACTACTGATACAGAAAAAGTTGATAGTAATTTCATATAAAATACTTTAAGAAAGAAACTATTCAGTTTTACTTTTACTTCACACATTTCATACTAAATCAATACTCATTCAATAGGAGTATGTCTGCTTATAATGAAGTACAAAACATTCTAATCAACCTGGTTCACAAACAAAAATAATTAACTACTTACACTACTTATTATAGAATATAACTTATCATAATTAACAACATATAGAAGCATAGAATACTTACTCAACAAAATAGATGCCACAAAAATCTCCAGAGACCTACAGACAGGGGATTTTCCTTCAACAAAGTCTTAACACTTAGGGCTGATTTTTCAATAGTCAGAATTATGTTATCTGAGGAATAAAATTATTGCTGTCACTGTCTTATACAAATATTCTGACCCGACAGCATTCCCCAGATAACTTTTATGTAAATTCTAATATTACGCGAGTTTATTTTTCTGTATTCTCTTATGCTGGAACAAATTTCATATTAATATGAAATTTGTTCCAGCATAAGAGAATACAGAAAAATAAACTCGCGTAATATTAGTATGAAATATTGTGTCCAACACGTCTGTTAATAAATTACCTTGTGCTGCTAATATTCTATAAGACGTACAGGATTTTAATAAAACCTTTATTTACAAATGGCATGCCCACAACATCAGAAAAAGTCGACTAAAGTGTCTAATTAAAATCCTGTGCGTCGTAAAGATTTTAACAGTTTAAGTATGTATTTGTTTTTAATATAATACCTTTACATGTTAAGATGATAGTATTTTATTAACATAGTTACCGAAATATAGTTACCAATTGTTATAATTAAATTTATTATAAAAATTACTTCACTAGCTAGGTAATCAATGCTAAAAAACTGGGCAGATGATCCTTTATTTTCTTGTTTCCCTAAAAATCTATGCAATTAATTATGGAGAAGCCTGGCCATATGTACCTAGTTGAGTTTATTTATGAGAGTAGGTACATTATGTATACTGCTAGCTTTACTTTTTTACCTATATTGTCTATGTAGCTCTTTAATGTAAAATAGTATAAATAAATAATAAATACCTTTTATAATATAAAAAAGGAAGCTAGAAACCATATTGTGATGTTTAAAAAAAGACAAAATTGCTTGTAATAGTTTTTAATTAATAATACTCATTACACTGCCGTATTTTGTATATTTATTGTATAGGATAGAGGAGTAAATTTGACAAATCATTGTTGAAATGTGAAATGTCCTTTTGTACCTTATTTTTTTATAAAAATAAATATAAGCTACCATACAGTTATTCATGAAGAGTTTTAATACTTTTTTCCAACTAAATAGTTTTTTTTTCTTAAATAACAACTTACTACTTAATGCATACAATCTCACATTTATCCACAATTGGTAAAACTAGTGGAGCTATTCTCAGTGTTAACTGAGAAAAAACACAATTAAGCAGATCAATATTTTCAATAACTTAAGTATGTATTATGATAGTTACTACTGATACAGAAAAAGTTGATAGTAATTTCATATAAAATACTTTAAGAAAGAAACTATTCAGTTTTACTTTTACTTCACACATTTCATACTAAATCAATCTAATCATTCAATAGGAGTATGTCTGCTTATAATGAAGTACAAAACATTCTAATCAACCTGGTTCACAAACAAAAATAATTAACTACTTACACTACTTATTATAGAATATAACTTATCATAATTAACAACATATAGAAGCATAGAATACTTACTCAACAAAATAGATGCCACAAAAATCTCCAGAGACCTACAGACAGGGGATTTTCCTTCAACAAAGTCTTAACACTTAGGGCTGATTTTTCAATAGTCAGAATTATGTTATCTGAGGAATAAAATTATTGCTGTCACTGTCTTATACAAATATTCTGACCCGACAGCATTCCCCAGATAACTTTTATGTAAATTCTCCAGTTAACTTGTTGAAAAATCGGGCCTTAATAAAATAATCATTTTATCAGCCTTATGACTTGCAGTTCAGTTTGATTATTTTCTAATTTAAGTACATAATTTTCAGCACCATGGACATGTTTCAGGTGTGCATTTAAATCCTTCTTCAGGCCAAACTTCTTATCACAGACAATACAACATTCAGATTTTTCTAAATGCTTTCTTTTCACATGTTCAAGTCTACGGCCTGAGGTAATGAACTCTGCTCCACAGACATCACATTTAAAAGGCTTCTGACCGGAATGTATCATCAAATGTTCAACTAGAGTCTTTTCATTTACAAATGCATCGCCACAGATCTCACAAGTTTTATCTTTCACTTTTTCATGAGTCAAAAAATGCTGAGTCAAATGGCTCTTTTTATAAAAACCTTTTTGGCATATGTCGCAAACATAAGGCCTTGTGTTTAGATGTGTTTTATTTATATGAGCTTCTAAGGTATTTTTATTCAGACTTTTATAGTCACAGCTGCCGCATGTGTAGTATTTCATTTGCCGCTTTCTTTTGGTTTGAGCACTATGATTTTTTAAATGTAATTTATAATGAGAGTGAGATTTGAGAATTTTAGAGCAATATGGACATTGCTTTAGCTTGTGGCAGTTTAAATGAGCTTTTAAAGCAGAGCTTCTATTAAATACTTTTCCACAAATATCACAGATATTAGCTTTATTAGTATTCTTGTGAGTTATCCTAAAATGTTTCTGTAGTAAAACTTTGGAATTGAATTTCATGTCACATTTACTACATTGCACAGTACTTAATTCCTTTTTAGGTTCTTCTGATATACTCTCAAAAGTTGGCATATTTATTTTAAGTTTATATTTCTTTGTTTCTCTGTCATTTTCTTTATTGTCTAGTTCTTCATTCATGTTATCGACTAATCGATTTATTATTTCAGCTTTGAAATACTGTCTTTGTAATAACATAAATATCTTGATGATCAAATTGAAACATTCTTCACATGACTGTGAGAGGAGCAAGTCCTGAAATAAATTTATAAACATTTAATAAATACTTACATCTATTTAAAGATGATGATGTAAACATTTAATGTTTTTACTTATTGAAAAAATGCAATGCAATACGTCAATGCTAATTCGAATTAGTGTTAAAATAATATAAATGAAGGCCATTCCTATAGCAATGTCGCTTTAATTCAATAACATCAATACCAGATAATGCTGGAACCTTCCTAAACAAAATCTTTTGCATATATTTCATTAAATTTTACTTACATGTGTCGGAAACAGCTTTTTCATCATATTCCCCAAAGTTAAATTTGAAGTAAGGTATTCGTCTTGAATTTCTATAGTTTCGTGTAAACCTATCGTAGTATCACAATGTTTAAAACATAAAAAGCATGTACTCTTTGTAATTTGTTGGTCTATAAGAATATTAATAATTTCCATCGTTACTGTAATAAATTTTAATATTTGTTTATAAAGAAATCATAACAAAATCGGTAGGTAATTAATTTTAATATTATTATGACATTTGAAGTTTTGAACTTGTCCCGATGTCCCGATTAGTTTTAGAGTCCTACCCTGTAAACCATACTAAATAGTCGATTTTAAGTCGATTCATGAACTATATTCTACAGTTGGAAAATGTTCATTATTCATAATCACTTCATTTCGCCGTTCGCCGCCATGTTGAAATGTCATTCGATTGACAGTATCTACTACAATCGGCTACTCTGTGATTTCTTTTGCGATATTTCTACTCAGAATACAGAACTCAGTATTCTGAGATGTTATTTTAGAAGAAGTTTAAATGCATAAAAATATGAGTGAAAAATGAAACAAACTATGAAATATCGTTTTTTCTTACTCTTTCTCAAGCAATAACATTATTAGACAAGAGAGACAACAATATTTAAGTTGTTACTTAATATGGCAACAAATCATTTTGACATTAGCAAAGTTATAGTTTTTAAGAATCTATGTTTTTAAGTGCCATGTCCGCCATCTTAATCGCTCTGACTGAGTACCTTTGTTTCATGGTAGTTGGGCTGTCAAACGGTTGTTTACCTATGTTTTAAATTATTGCGGTTTTTCAGTAAATTACAAATAGATATCAAATATATATATATATATATAGTGAAACAAAAAAACAATATGCCTGTGTGTTGTATTGTGCAGTGTGGTGCAAAAAAGAACGAAGATAAACCTCAATTGTCTTTGCATAGGTTAGCAAACAGTTTTCATCAAATATTACTTAGAATAATTCACATAGATAGAAAAAAATGTTACGGATACTTGAATCTATTGCCAAAGTTTATATTTACGTTTATTTCTGTCTGAAAAAGACTGTCTGTTTAGTAAAAAAATTTTGTCTACAATAATATTTTATATGACATAGTTATATACCATTCCGCCTCAGAATACAGAACAAACCATTCCGCAAAACTATCGATATAATCTCCTATTTAAAAGTCAACATATATTGTACTAAATAATCCATTTTAACAATTGATGTTTCCTCAGTTTTATGTAAGGCTAATTTGTTTAAGTTACATAGAAGTTCAAATTATCATGTTTTATAATTATCTTTTTTATAGGTTTCCTAAAAAAGAGCAATTAAGAAAAAAGTGGCTAGAGGCTATCGGTGAACACAATATTAATACCAGACATAAAGATTGGTATGTCTGTTCGCTTCACTTCAAAGAAAGCTGTTTCAATAGAACACTTGATGTCATGAGATTACATGATAACTCTGTTCCCACAGAATTCTTGGTAAGTTTGATTTTAAATGGCTGATAAAAAGCCTGGCCTGAAATAGAAAATAAATGCTATATATATTCCTTATAAACAAATATAATATATTCCTTTATTATTCTTTTCAGATGCCCAAAAAACGACGCCGGGCATTATCAGTTTTAAGTGAAAGTAGCAATATCACAAATGATTATGATGATTCTTCTTCATCGACTGAGCAGCATACAGGGGTATGTATATATTAAACGATGATCATTTTGTGTGCTTTATAAAATCATCAGCCAATCAACAGACAAAGGTAATCCCAGGTTCCGGGCTCTAGTTAGGCAGACGGCAAAGTAGGAACAGGAGTGGATTTTAGTCAGTAAGGGTCTGTCACGAAAAGGGCCGGAGATGACATTAGATGATTTCCCATAAAAAATACTGTTAATCAGCTGGCTAATCCCTAAAACTATACCTATGCAGAACCTATACTTAAATAGTATCGATACTCGTTAAGTCGTTAAGTACTTGGTCGGCACAACCCTAGCAACGGCAGTCATATATGCGAACGTTCGGATTGTAGGTAGGTATGCACCTTTTTTTCGTAGGTAGGTATTTCCAGTCCTTATATTTCCTATGTCAATGATTTTAATTCAGCATACATAAATATTATTATGATATTTCAATATTTGAAGATGTCCCGATTAGTTTTAGAGTCGTTACTCTGTAAACCCAACTAAATAGTTGATTTTAACTCGATTCATCAACTATTTGTATTCTACAGTACATAAGAAACATGTTAATTTCATTATGCCGCGCGCCGTTCGCGTGTCTATTGGTTCCACAGACTAAATAGAGATACTACGATTGGCGCGCGGGAGCGCGGAGCGCGCCCAATAAAGGTTGAGGTTGACTTTGCGAGCTTGACGTCGAAAGCATTCCATGTCAGTGTTTTTCAAAAAATGAACCTCTTATCTTTTTATTTTACAAGTTTGAGTTTTACGGTATTCCTCAATAGTATAGATTTCAGTTGCAATATCATATCGTTAGTAAAATGTATGCTATGTTTATGTCGTGATTTATTCGTGATTATAATTAAATACCAAACATACGGTTAGGTACGACGCTAACGTCATAAAATATTCTATCGGACTGTTAGAAAAGCTAATTTTATCGACAGAACAAGAAAGAATCTGGAACGTGGACTTGCCAAGTAAGTCAACTTTATAATAAACATGGGATTTATATTTACTGATATGTAATAAACTTGAATAATTTGAACCGTTCAATGAATTTTCTGTTATTAGGCTAGGTTTCGATTGTGAAATGCGCCATATTGTCGTACAAATTGCATACGTAACATAACCTAGAACGTCGATAAAAACGTAATTTTAATCATAACACATTGAACGAGGCACAGAGGTCAGAATTGTTAGGATATTTAGCGTAAAATTTATGAATAAATTTACAATTTTATGCATCAAAAACAGACAAGCAGAGATAATTAAGTTTTATTTTGGATAAAATTGGTTGAAAATCGGTCTTTGATTTCAGTCGTGATGTAAACAGAAATGGATAGGTACAACGTATAAACTTGGAATGATAAAATAATTTCAATAGGAATATGTACTTAAAAAAAATATTTTGTTGTTTATACAGTAACACGATGTTCGAAACATTTATAAAATTAATTCCTATTAATGTTATTAATCAGCCACATTATTTGTAGTGTAAATCCTTGAACTGTTTGTAGTTTTGTAGTCAGTTCAAATTTTCAAAAATCGTTCTATTGAAAAATCCCATTTTTGGAACAATTATTTTTTGTTTTTGTATATTATACTACAGTATGACTTTTATTTTAAAAAAAACCTGGATAAAGCTGGCATTTCTTATCTGACTACTCTAAAAAGAAAGCTGAAACAAACTCAAATTACAGTCTCCTTTGATGTCCAGACATGTTCATACCATAGGTAGTCGTTTATGTAAACAATGCTAATATTGCAACTGTGCTAGACTCCAAACAAACAATTTTAATTATTTTTTTTTTGTGAGAAACCTATTTCATGAAAATCTCTTTTCTAAACTTTTATTTATTTTTGTAATAAACTGGATACTTTATCAAGTTTTAATACATATCGGCTAATAGAATTAAATGATTTTACAGAAATGCAAGATGGCAGATATATCGAAGAATAAACCTTCTGAAAATTTTGAATGGATCAAACAGAGACTCCAGACAGTATGGACCGCTCCAAAATTTTGTGGTCTCTGTCTGGAGAACAGAGGCAACTTCTCTTCCGTGGACATGGAATTTATGATTAGCCAGCAAACATATTCAAAATGTCTCCAAGATATCTTGAACTATGTGTTCAATGAAGATGTAAGTTTTGTATTTTAGTACAAGCTTTTATTTTTACTTGCAATGTATGTTTGTTAAGTGAAGTCATGCAAGTTTTTAAGCAGATAATTTTGACCAATTAATTTATCCACCAAACTAAATTAGAGTTATTTATAATCAATAAAATACCCCCAGAATACTTATTCTTTGTCATTTGACACTAATAAATATTATTTTAATTTGTCTTCCAGATTGAACAGATCATGTCAAGCCATTACATATGCGATGGCTGCACAGAGAAGACAATACAGGCATATCTCTTCATACACAACACAAGACAGTTAACAAAAATACTTAACAACTGTGTCTCGGATATTTATTCCAAAGTTGTTGATGTCAACTCACAGCTCAATGACACAGTCACTGCTGATGCTGCTAACGTTATGATTGTACTAGAAAATGACAAAGAACTGTGCAAAACAATTATCGATATTCATTCTATGACGGAAGTCATCCCCACAGCAACCCATATTCCTATGAAAGTTGAACAACCAGAGGTGATTGAACCTAAGATTGTTCAAATCACTAACTCACAAGTTCTGATCAAGCAGAGTATGGAAGAAATAAAAATTGAGCCAAAGCCCAAAGTTAGAAAAATTGCGAAACCTGACAATACCCCAAACATTACTTTGAAAGAAGGTCACATTGTTTTAAAACCTTTGAGTTCAGTGCGCAATGAAGCGCCACGGTATAACACATATCAATGCATCCACTGCCCAGATATATTCACTTCATATAGGTCGCTGAAGGAACATGAAAAGGCCAAGCACAAAAAGGCTGTTTTCCGTTGCAACTTATGTAATAAGTCATACAATACACAACAGTACTTGAACATTCATTACAAGACCCATGAGAGAGCTCGGTGCAAACTCTGCCAGCTTATAGTGCCAGAAGAGGAACTAATGGATCATTTGAAAGCAAATCATTCGAACTTGGTGTATCCATGCAAGTTTTGTGATCTAGTATACTACACCCAGGAGACTTTGGACACCCATTTCAAAATCACCCATCTAGTGAACGACACAAAGGCAAAATCTCAATGTGTGATGTGCTTACGTAACTTTGTTGAAGCAGAGTTAAAGAAACACAAGTGTAAATTTTCATGCTCAGAATGTTTTGTGATGCCATGTATACATTTCAAATATTTGAATTCGTATAGGGAGCAAATCCTAAGTCATGTGAACAAAATCAAATGCATAGATTGTGATTATCTAACACGAAGGAAGGAGCATCTGATAGGACACGCGAACAGGGAGCATTTAGACCATCATCCATTTACATGCGCTGATTGTGGCCAGCAGTTCTACACTAAGTTAAGTTTGAAGACTCACATAGTGCAGTTCCATGAAGATCTTTTCTGCCCGTACTGTGACTTTGAGTTCAAAGATATGAGGACATTAGAGAGCCATAAAAAAGCATGTAAACTTGTCATACGTGCATTCACATGTTCGCAGTGTGAAGCATCGTTTGATGTCGCTGAAGAACTGACTAAACACGAGAATCTGAAGCATAGTGAAGTTGTCTTCGCGTGCCCGTTGTGCAAGAGTAGATTCTTAACTGATTTAGAATTGCGAGAACATCGAGCGAGAATTCACGGCGGCATTCAGTGCAAGAAAAGAAGGAAACATATTGAATGCTCTCTGTGCAACATTATGTTCAAGAGCCTAAAAGAAATGTTGGAACACGAAAAGTCGCATGACGAAAATGACACGTATCCTTGCAAAATGTGCTCGAAGAACTACAAAAGCTTAATGAAGCTTTACATTCACAATCAGAGACATTATACAGACAGAATAAAATGTCAGGGGTGTAATAAACGGGTGGCCACGTCATTCTACGCTCAACATTTAGTCAGGTGTCCGTACGCAAGGATGACTACATTGGACCATGTCTGTGAAGTTTGTGGCAAGTCTTTCCATCTGGAATCATTGTTGAAGTTACACCAAAAAGTCCACATGGACCGAGAACCATGTCCACACTGCAACAAGGCTATAAAGCCCGCTAGTCTGAAGAAACATATCGAACAATTTCATGGAGAAAATGCAAAAGAGAAACCTGCAGGTCGAGGACTCCTGGAATGTAGCCTGTGTGGCCATATTGTAAAAAAGAAATGTGATTTAGAAGCTCATATGAACAGATATCATTTGAAAATCAAACCGTATATCTGTCCAATATGCTCCAAAGACTTCTGCGGCAAAGTGAGGCTGAAGGAGCATATAGCTACCCATACATCTGACAACAACTGTTTCTGTTCAATTTGTGGGAAGAAATTTGCGAACCGTGTGTGTTTGAAGATGCACTTTAGAATGCATACTGGTGAAGCGCCTTATTCCTGTGACATTTGTGGTCAGAAATTCAGGTCTTCAAGTATGATGAAGACTCACAGGTTAAAGAAACATTTAGAGAAAACTGTAAGCTGTCCGTTATGCGACAACATGTTCTTCATGGCCCGAGATATGCGACATCACTTCAAGAAAGCACACTGGAAGTACAAAGATGGCCGGCCATTTAATCCCAGAGATGTTGAGGAGTTGCCAAAAGAAATGTATTATCTATTTGAAGATGGTAGACTGCCGAAAATTACTAATGACTAGTGATTCTCGTGTTAATAGGTATATTATTTTTGTATGTTAGGTTTAAATTTTAGAATATTGTTATTAATAATTGTTTTATGGAATTTTAATAGATGGAAAGGCAGAAAAGGGAACCAAAGTAATGTTGGAAAGACTGAAGATGGAATGAAACTTGGTTTATGACCTGTATATACTGGTGATTTGGGAAAGATTAAACCTGAAAGTTATTATGTGAAACATTTATGTATAGTTTAATAAAAAATATATTATATATGATATTTTTATGACTACTGATGCTACATTATTTTAGGTTACAAACCGCTTTCATGTGAAACAAAATATTTAAGTATTATTTATAGATAATTAATGTGTGGATACTTAAGTAACATGACATCACAAGTTTGAAACTATAATTTTAATTTGTCCCTCACTACGATTTTCTACTGTATCTCGTAGGTGCGTTTTCAAACTTTGGTAATCCTAGTGTATGCACAAAAAATGTATTGGCAATGCGCCTTGGGTTGGCGTTACACCGCGGCCTCTGAAAACCGACGTGAAGCAACGTCTCATCTCCATACTTGCTAGAAAAATATCGCATCAAATTGGTACCTACACCTTATTAATTTTTGGAGGTTTTGGAAATAAGTGTTGTTTTCTTGAACCTGTCTTCTATTCGTAACAGCGCATAATAATTCTACTCTAAACATTTATTTCTAAATATTATTTAATTATAAAAAGAAAATAATTATGTTGCAAGTAATAGAGATGTCTCCTAGGTTAAAATAACAAGATTCTAATTAGTCCGTCAGTTAGCCTAGATTATAGAAAAATACTCGATACGTATTTTTTATTATTCCATACGAATAATATTGATAAAGATACAGCATAATTATTCAAATTCAGGAGTAGGGACACGTGACGTCACTCTTTCGTAAAAATTTTACGAAATAATGACGTAGCGCGAACTTTCGCTACTCTGTACTTTGTTATTTTAAGTTTTAGAAGTAAAAGAAAAAATACGTATCTACTATTTTCTGGCTTTCTAAAAGATGGACTAATTATTATATTTTAGTTACATCCCTATTATATTTTCAAAGCAAATGTTATATGTTTGTGATTGTGACTGTAAAGAGTTCAGTTTTTACCCAACTACGGCAAAGCAAAAGGAGGGTTATATTGTTAATAGTGTATAGTCGACATAATAAATAAATAATAAAAAAGCCTTATATTTCTTACAAAAAATACAAAAAATAAACTTACTTCTAATTTTTATCGAGCTATTCCTAATCTATAATTTTAAACATAACAATTTTATAAAATTTACTATTTATGTAAGAACCCCTCGTTCTCGAAGGTGAAGGCCTCCTCTAGAGATTTCCATTTATCCCTGTTCTTCGCCGTCTCCATCCACTGTTTGCCGGCCGCTTGTATAATATCGTCAGTCCACCTGGCAGCTGGTCTACCCCTCTTTCTGGTGCCCGACGGGCCTTTCCAGGAAGTTAACCTGGCTGACCATCGGTTATCTGTCAGTCTAGCTATGTGACCAGCCCAACGCCACTTAAGTTTTTTGCTGTGAATCAGAGCGTCCGTGACGTTTGTCTTTTTCCTAATTAATTTATGAGGTATTTTTTGAACTTTTCTAATATTCATCATACTCCTTTCCATTCCTCTTTGGCACGTCCTGATTTTCGCTTTTGCTTTTTGTGTAAACTTCCAAGTCTGGCTAGCGTATGTTAATGATGGTAATATGCAGGTATCCATAACTTTTTGTTTTATTTTCATTGGCATGTCACTTTTCATAATTTCTTTCAAGCTCCAAAATTTTTTCCATGCATTTGTTACTCTCCTTTCTATTTCATGTTCATTTCTTTGCTTTTGAAAAGATAATTGTTTGCCCAAGTATATATAGTTATCGACATACTCTAGTGCTTCACCGTTTAAGTATACAGGAGATTTTGAGTAGTTTGTCATAACATTGGTTTTGCTAAGATTGATTTCTAGCCCTACCTGTTTACTTGCGGCGTTTAGAGCAGTTAGCATCGACTGCAGCTCCATCCTACTCTCAGACAGCAACACAATATCGTCGGCAAATCTTAGATGACTTATATATTTATTGTTTATATTTAGACCCACTCTTTCCCATTGTAGTTGTCCAATGACTCGCTGTAATACTGCTATGAATATAGTTGGAGAGATGGGATCGCCCTGTCTTACTCCTTTTTTTATGGGTATTGAAGGCCCAGTTGTCTCTAGTTTTATTCTACTGTTACAGTTTTTGTACAAATATTGTAATACCTTCAAATAACCTGTTTCAACATTTTGCGATTGTAGAGCCTCCCATATTGACTGGTGATCCAAAGTATCAAACGCTTTTCTGTAATCAACAAATCCAATGTAGAGCGGCCGATGAAACTCTTGATATTTATCTATTATCATTTCAATAGAGTGGATATGATCTACAGTAGACAATCCTTTTCTAAATCCCGCCTGTTCTATTGGCTGTTTCGTCTCTATAGTTTCTCTGATTCGTTTTTCTAGAATTGATGAAAATAGTTTGTACATTGAAGACAGTAGGCTTATAGGTCGGTAGTTGTTTATATCTTTTGGGTCTCCTTTTTTATACAATAAAATTATTTCCGACTCAGTCCATTGTTTTGGCGTAGTCGCTGTTTGTAGAACGAGGTTAAAAAGCAGTGTTAGAGGGCTTACTAGACAGAAAGCACCTAGCTTCAGAGCTTCGTTGGGTATTTTATCAGGACCTGGGCTTTTTTCAGATTTTAAGTATTAAAGGGAATAGTCGACATAACATTATTTAATAGCAGTATAAAATCTATTTGAAACATAATATTAAATCAATTTTTACACTGAAATATGGTTTTATTTTGTGATATGGCGGAGCATCCGTTGAGTTTGCTGGCCTTTTGGAGAAGGATTGGGGCCCTAGTAACCTCACTCAAACAGCGGGAAATAACGCTTTGTTATTTTTTGTCACTACACTCGAGCGAGCAAGTGTTTTTTTTAAACCTATGATTTTTCATGAGTATGCACCTACGATTCTAAAAAAAATCAACAAACATACACATTCACATACATAAACCACCCAGAACCGAAACAACAATTTGTGGGTCACACACAGTGTTGTTTCGTGCAGGAATCGAAGCCGCAACACCTTTCACAGCAGCTAGTTGCCCAGCCACTACACCAACCGTGCAGTCATGTAGCTATGGTTAGAAGAAAAAAATAAAAGACCGGAGAAAAAGCCTGATTTCTATAGATGTCCTGAGATTTTATACTTTGACTTGGATTAATAAGGTTACGAAAGTGGGAGAGTCATGTATCGGCACAAATGGGTCGGCTCCACCGGAGTGATACCACGGCCTCAAAGAAAACAGGCGTCAAACAACTACAGCGTTGTGTTTAGCTGTGTTAGTGGGGTTACCGGAGGCCCAATCCTTCCCCTCCCCAATCCCTAAATCTCCAAAACCCTGATCCGTAAAAGGTCGGCTACGGACTCGTAACTCCTCCGTTACGGATGTCCATGGGCGCCGCTGATTGATCACCATCAGGTAATCCGTCGCATAAAAAAAGAAAATTGTTTTGGTTGGTTTTACTTGGATAGATAAGTATAGATTTGAACTGCAATAATTGTTAATAAAAGGTTTATTTAAACGGACCTTTATGAACTTTCAGTTGAAGGGATCTGTGTTTATTGGAAATCCTGAGATATTACGAGTTTTGCAAAATTCCGACCGCAATCCTGAGATAAGTCGAAAAATCCGGAAATCTCAGGACAAATCTTGATTTTTGATGATTGTATTTTGATTGAGTTGAACACGAGACATTGTTGCTGAAGTTGGAAAACTAGGGTATTAGACAGCCATCTCTAAATGTATATAAATCATACCTACCTCCAGGATAGGCAGCTCAAACTACAAGTAAATAAAGTGAACTCCTAGGGTGCTAGCATATCTATGGGCGTACCACCGGGCTCGATATTAGGTCCTTTCCACTTTTTGGTCTACATAAACGATTTACCTCATTTATTTCAACGTGAACCGGGAGTGGTATAATTTGCCGATAACACATTGTTATTTTTTTAATAGACGAACATAATAGTCATGTCAACGTAAATAATGCTACTGCGAAGTTTCATAATTGGTTTACAGTTAAGAACTTATTAGTGAACAATGAAAACACAAAGAGTACCTACAGTTTGCCAAATGTTAAAAGTAACGAATGTGACATACCTACTATTAAATGGTAAGAAATTGGAATTTGTAAAACTGACTACTTTTCTAGGTATAATAATAGATGAGAAATTACAATGGGGGACCCATACATACCACTTTTTTGACAGGACGATTGAGCTCTGCAGCATTTGCTGCCTAGAAGATCAGACAGCTAACAGATGTGGAAACTGCTAGATTGGTGTACTTCAGCTTCTTTCGTAGCATTAACATCGTATGGCATTTTGTTGTGGGGACAGGCTGCTGACGTTGAGTCTATCTTTGTCTTGCCAAAGCGTACTGTCAGAACTATTTACAACCTAAGGCATAAACCTAATCTCTTACAGAAAAAAATTGGCAAAGGTACAGAAGTCGTTTGTATGCTATAACAAAATCAGAGGTGAAATAAAAGAAATGTAAAATTACATTACAAACTGTGATTATATTGAGGATAAAGATGCTTGGAGACATGCAGTTCCTGCTCCATAGTATAACCTACACATGAATAAATAATGGTCCAGGATTTTCGCTTGAACGGAACTTGTAAAATTGCATTATATTTTCAAACTTAATACATTTTTAAATGTGAGGACCCTGTAACCTGTTACAATTTTTTAGACTAGCAGAATGTCTATCCATATGTCAAACTAACTAATGGAAATAAATAATTTTGATTTTAACTTCGACTTTGGTTGTCAAGAACACAATTCGTTATATATTTTTTATGGCTAAAAGGACAATAATAAAACTTAAGTCCATGTAAATATATCCATATATTTATTTATATAATATCTTACATCTAAGTATTACAATATTGTAGCTGCTGTACCATACAGATACTTATTGCTAACATAAAAATAAACATAACCTAATGCATTTGATATTAAGATTCTTCCAAAAAATTACGAAACAGTGTTCAAACAAATTAATTTCTAAAATTCATTGTGATAAAGACTCCTTTCGTATGGATCCAAAGCTAAGAATTTGCGCAGTGCGCTAAAATTTTGCGCTACTGTGCGCAAAACTATAAAACATTTTTTTTTGATCAGAAGTGCCCTAATATCAATCGATTTAGGTTATATTAAAATTTAAAAGATATATTAATTAGTGTTTGGAAACATACTAACTTAATGTATAATGGTAAACAATCTACTGCTAGTCTGGTGTGATTAGTGCCTTTCAAGATATGCTACGCGGACAATGAAAAATATAATTCCATATTAATATGTACAAATCAGACAACATATTACGTTATATTTTAGTTGGACCGAGAAAAAAGTACCAGCTTGTTCTTAATAGGAATCTATTATACTCATTTATAATTTTATATTTTTCTCAAAGGTTTGTGTGTTGCAACTTAATTCAATTGAAAAATGCGAAGTCATTGAAGAATAGGTAAAGTAACAATTTCTTATTTGTTGAGCTGAAAGATAGTATCTCTTCAGAAGGGAAGAAAATAGTGAAAATAATTTGCTGACTAAATACAGTAATTTTTAGATCTGAATTGTGCAGTGATTTCTTGGTCTGACTTGTGCTACATTTATCAACATCGATATATGACTTAAATCCATGTATTCACTACAGTGCAAACAACTGTTGAATATAATAATAACCTGATTTCTCTGCAAAATAAAACAGAATCAATATGGGAATACGAAATAAATTGTCACTCCATAAAAAAAACATTATGCTACCAAAATTGCAAGCCCGTGAGTGGCTTAATTTATAGCCCGCTATATTATATTATGATCTCTATTTACATGTTCTTTAAGTTCGTATTTGGTTGGGAAAATTGATTTACAAATCCTACAATAGAAATTACCGCCGTGGCTTAATCTCATATGTTTTCTGACTTTTAAGGCTGAGTAGAAGAACTGCCCACAGATCTGGCAGCCAAAAGGCTTCACGCCTATGTGCTTCCTAACGTGGATCACCAATTGTTTCCTACTTTTCAAGGTTTTGTTACAAAATTCGCATGTCTCCTTAGAAGGCATACTATGCACTTTCTTATGACACTTCAAATTGTTCTCTGTATAAAACTGTCGATCACACATGTCACAACTATAAGGTTTTATTTGCAAATGTATTTTATTTACATGGAGCGAAAGTTCATTATCGTTTACACATTCCTTTTCACAGAAACTGCACGTTTGGGCGTGAAGTTTTGTGTGAAGTTTCAATTTCGCTGAATGCTTTTGGATGTGGTTTTCATAATGGGCTTGCGTCGTGAACACTTTATTGCAAAGTTCGCATGGCTTTATCCTATGTATTTGTTCATGGTCTTGCAATTTATCTATATCTGTATAATTCCTACCGCAAACCTTACACGTCATATAGAAGCTCTCTGGCTTCAAGTGCGCTACCCTCCTGTGTTCAAACAAAAGGAACTTAGACTTGTATACATTGTTACAAATCTTGCACTCTGCTTTCTTATTATTATGTTTAAAAATATGTCTCTTCAAGAAATAAATGGATATAAAGTGTTTGTTACAAAACGGGCACGTGTATTTAACGGGTTCCTTTTTAACTTTTTTCCTTTTGTTAAATGTCAAAAATTCACTACACACGTCCACGGAATATTTGGAACTCTGGTTCTGTAAACCATTCACTAACTTCTTATTCATATAAGTTTTTGTTGCGGTCCTAGCTAAATTGTCGATTGGTGCTATTGGTATATTCGTAACGGTATCGGATTTAGATCCCTCGCTCGATATTTCTGGTTCAGCTTCAGTCTCACTTTCACTATCAGTTTTCACCCTGAATTCGTCTTCTAAGACGTCTATTTTTAGTTTACTTTCGTCAACTATTTCATTTTCTTCTAGTAATTCGTCCAAATTTTCTAGAGGCGCCATTATAGGCGGGGGTGATACTTGTACAAAGACGTTGGCTGAAGGCTCAATTTTTTTGAGATCCCTCAGCATAAGAGTCACACAAAGATCTAACCGCTCCCTAGTAAAACCGAATTGTTTAATGAATACATACGAAGTGATCGCGTGATCAAGGCACTTTTCGCATATTTTTGTCCCAATAAAGTGGTGTAGGTAGTTCATCTGCAACAAAAAATTGTTTGTTAAAAATGTAATCTTGGAAAGTCTTGTGTTAGTAAGGAAATTAAAACAAACCTGTTGCAGGGACAATAATAGACGAGTTAGTGTTTCATTTTGCTATCTTAGCGTTTATTTGGAATGCTCCAGTAATAACGGAATTCTGCTTTCATATTTCATCAACGGTTTTTCTTCATTCCTTGCCTTATGATTGCTTAAGGTCCTATTAATTTTGTGCCATTTTTAGAAAATATTTTCAATTACTTTGGTTTTCTTCAGAATTAACAAAACTTACATACAAATCCTATAATATTATTGAGATCATATCATGTTTTGTAACCTAATATTGAATTATTTCAATTGAGATCTTTATGTAAACTGACTATTAAAATGCTATGATTATTACAATGTTATACACATGAAGCTTGAATAATAAATTACTTATGAAAAGCTTTTGGTATGGTCCTAGCCACTTTCTTGATTTTCCTTCCTGTTTTAGCATACTGTAGAGGGGTGGAGCCAATATTGAACTGAATGTTGGTGCCAACAAAGGGCCCAATGTTTGAAGCCAACATATTTATTGGTGTTGGGTTAAATGTTGGAATAAATTGTGTAGATAGCTCTTCAACTTCCATTTCTTCATTTATTGTGTTTGCTACATATCTGTCTGTTTCAATTTCTACATCCATACTCTGTGCTGTGATAACGTTTTTATTTTCAACCATTTGCATTTGAACATTCTTTTCTACAGTTACATTGTCCGATTGTATCACAGAAGTATTTTCAATCTCTAGAATTTGTGGTTTTTCTTGTTTTTCACTGTCTTTATGTTCAGGTGTCACAGGCAAGAAGGTTTTGTTAATACCAAATACGATTTTAGTGTTGCAATTTTCATTATATCTCTTTGATTCACAGCAGACACATGTAGATCTGTCGTTAGCATTATTTATGAGACAAACTTCACATTGCCACATGTCTATTTTATGCTTATTAACTCTTTTTTCTGGTTTCGCTTCTGCCTCTTTGTTTTTATCAATTGAAGTGATAATATTATTGTTGTTTAAAGCATCATATTCAGTTTTGTCAGCAGCAATATCTTGTTTTTCTTCAATTACTGTTTCATTTATACCTCCTTCTAATTTTTTACAGTTTTCACATTTGTTAGGTTTAAAAATCCAACATATTTTGCATCTTTTATTAGAAACATCTTTAGTTTCATTTATTTCTATATCTTTTGAAGTATTGTATCCAGATGTTTTGGTATATATCCAAGACAAATTATTCTTAATTTTCAGAACATTATCATTCGGGGATATTTCTTCAGTATTATAGATATTGACAGGGTCGCATTTACCATTATCATTAATTTCCAACACGATTGGGTTAGCAAATTTAAATTCAGTGATACATGCATAAGATTTATTTTTGAATGTCTCTCTAAAACATGTAGTATTATCGTTTCTGGCTACTTGTCCAGGATTTGTAGCCAATTCATTATCATCTTTATTATAATTGTCGCAACTTTCAATCTTATCATTGGTATGACGTTTAGTAAAGCAATCTATGGATTCATTACTTTCATCAGAATCTATCACCTCATAGAGTTCATCATCAATGATTTTGCTTTCTTTAGCATTTGTTCCCATCATATCATCATTTGATTCATCATCAGTTAGTAAGTCATTAAGATCATTGTGCTCAACATTTGACATTGTTTTAACTTCATTAACTATCAGTTTATTATTTTCATTATCTTTTAGGTTATTCACAGTATCATGTTCATCTATTTCAACAATCTTTGGTTTTTTAGCTATATTAGTAGTAACAGTAGAATCTTCTTCTGGTTCACAGAAGACATAGTAATAGAAATCTTCAGTTTTAAATTTATTTTTGTAAACTATTTCTGGTAACGATAGTTTGTAACATAGACTATCAATGTTAGTATCAGAGATTTCATTATATTTTCTCTTTCTTTTGGAAATAGTCATAATATTGGCTGTATGAGGCACATACAGTTCTTGATATTTATATGATTTAGGCTAGAAAAGGAATCACTTCTTACATATAGTACAAAACAAATTATAAGCACCAATACATATTGTGTTCTTTCAGTTTTCTTTCCAGATTTTTTTTGTCGTATATTTGTTGTTATTTATTAGTTGGAAAATGGAAACATTTAATATTGATTAATCATGAAGTGTTTTACATTAATAAGTTAGTATATGAAAGACCAAAATCATGCATTATTAACTTGTTAGTTAGTTAGTGAAGATAAAAAAGGCATACTTACATCAGGTAATGTTGATGACAACACTGTATACAGCGATTTATCACCCACCAACTCGGGACAACTTCCATGTATGGATACTTCTTTATCCAAGTTAACCAAATCCGTACTTTTCTTAAGACAAACCAAGCACAGTTGATCCGTTTTCCTTTCAACCAAATATCTCATTACAGTCTTGAATTTATGCTTTTCAATATGTTGTAGATGTTGCGCATAATCTTCCGTGACATTACCACATTCTTGGCATTTAAAACTCTTGTCTACTTTCGGTTTGTTTTCACATCCTTTTACATGGATTACATTGAAATGCTTCTTCAACTGAGTTAGTTTAACGAAAGACTTGCCACAGAGCCGACAATTATACCACATGGATTTCGGATGTGTTTTATCATGATTCAACAATGATTCCAGGTTTGGAAGGACTTGCCAGCATCGTTTACACTCAAATTCATTCCAAATAGGTTCTTTACTCAAAGATTCAGCTTCTATGTTAATGATATGGTATGCAGGTTCTGCGTAATCCATTACTTTTTCATGTTCCACATATAATACATTGTGATTAGGATTCAGTTTTTGCCTGCCTCTCTTTTTTGGTCTATCTATTGGGTCTAGCTTACTCAGTTTCTCATCAATATCATCAAAACAATTTTTTAAGGCTCTTTCAGCTTGATCACACTGCTGCGTAAAGAAGTATGCATTGAGAGTTCTGTCAACACATTTCTGGCATATTTTTTCTGGATACTTCTCATTTTCATTGGCCTGAAATAGTAATTATCACAATAACATTACATACTTTGTAATTTCTGTGGAATGCATGGTTGAAAGTCTGCGCTAATACACTGGTAATAAATAATATATGCAGCACAAGTGGGTCAAAAGTCAATGACCTACCTTAAAGGGGTAGAAGCTGGCTATCATTTGTCTTAGAGACACTTTGTACAGCACTCCTGTGCCAGCTATATGCAGTACCTGATCCAGGTCAGATAACGCAGGCGATATTTTGAGGCAGTAACGACAGACCTCTGTCTTTAGTTTACCATTCAGCAAAAACTCCACGGCAACCTTAGTCGTCAATGGTACACCTGGATAGCACGGCTTTGGAGGCGGTTTTGGAGGCTCACTCACATCCTTAGTCACTGAAGGAGTTTTTACCATCTTCTTGAACGATTTGGAATATGTTTTCTTAGCGTTGGTAGGGCATAATACCGGGAAAATATCATCATCCATTATGTAGGTTATGCGATGATTATTCGTTTCCTATAAATTGATAGGCAATACTACATACTAAAAACGCGGCTGAATTTATGAACACTTTGCAATAGTTTTACAATTTATATGCTGTTTAAAATGAAGTATATGAAGTTAATTATTTTCGATGACACTCGTAGAAGTGCGAAAATGGCGGAAAGAGATGAGCGTCGATGTCAACTTGTCAACCAAATGTCAGAGTCAGAGTAGTTTTTACGTTTCATGCATTATCTAGAACACGTTAGGAACTCAAGATATTAATTCCAATTAAATAATGAATATTGAAGACACTTAAAATAAAATAAAAATAATCAGTAAGTTTAAATTAAAATAAATATTTTGGTAAATTGTGCGATGTTGTTAATTTAATTACACAAATGATAATTCATGAATTCATAACTTTCATCACTGAAATAGTAGCAAGTACAAAAAAACGTACGTACGGTCGTTATACGTTGATGATTGATTTTTGGATCTTAAATGCAAAAACATGCCAACATAAACATAATATGTAGTATAAAAATATACATAAATAAAATAGGTAAACATGTTTTACCTTACGTAGACTGCCCACATAACTTATTGTTTTATAAATGCTTAGTAGAAAACAATTTTAAAATTTCAACACAATGGTAGAATACTAACACACACCGATGGCAACACTCGGACTAAATTACAGAAACGTCAAAAATGGTACATAAAATTTTTCTGCTGTAGCTAATTTTTCCTGAAAAATAATCATTCACAAAAAAATCCGGATTCGTCATTCTTGTGTAGTTGAAATTCTGTGTTAAAAGGACTATTTTTGTGTTCAGTGTTATTCAGTGTGGACAGTTATGACCTGTTTTCATTTATGGTGCAAGGAATAGAGGCATCAATACTTTGCTAACAGTGAGTATAAAAAAGCTGAGACTTTGTCAAGGCTAGTTCTCGTAACTTAATTATTAATTATCTGTTTGGATGATATCACGATTAGTTCTTTGAACCCTAGTTTTGTGATGTAATGTGAAATTTGGATGAATAATCGTTCCTTTGAGTTATGAAAGTTATTTTTAGATGTTGGAGTACGCAATTACAGCTGGGTTTGTTTGTGTAGTGTTTATAGTAGTTATTTAATTTTGGAACACTCAAAGGATTCTCTTTGTTTGATTGGTGAAGTGGTAGCCAAGTTCACTTCCTGTTGATTTATTTATAATTTGTCTGTGATTGAGTTCAAGTCAATTTTTCCTTTTTTACTGTGTGGAGAAGGTAAATGATTAAAATTCAGTACAGTGTCAAAATGTTTTAGAAGCATCTTTTTGTAAGTGTAATGGTGTAATTTTGTCAGTTAGTTAGCCAATGAACTAGCATTCCTTTATCTACCACTTTTTATTATTATTTTTAGCTGCCCCAAAACAGTCATCATTCACAAAGAGGTTTTACTATTTCATTACACCAATAAAATTATAAAGATACCATATTCATACAACTATATTCACACACAGCCATATACAGTAACACAAAACAAATATATATATACATAACCATATCTACTGTACATACATTGGTACATAACTACTGACCATACAAATTTAGATATGACATTCCATTTATAAATGGCAGTTTTTCATTGTATATTTAATTTAATGGCGCTAAACTTGAATGACCCATCTAAAAAGAATGTATAAAGACAGTTTATTGATTTTTAATTTATCCCTTTTATTTGGTGTATAATTGAGAATTAACACATTGATTGATTTAGTATTATGTCTAATGATAGTTCTTACTTATTAGTTTTTTTCTGCATAGTATGTAGCCTATGTTCAATCTAGGATAGCTTCCCAACATTGAAATGATTTTTCCAGTTTTTTAAATTGTAATGCAGCCTTTTGCAGCACAGACTATCAAAACTTTCTCTTTCTAAACGTAAATCTAATAGCCAGATAAGTAAGCAACTGAGATCATTCTTTCCTAGACTACTGTTTTACTATTAGTCATGGTAGACAACCTCTTTTGGTAACTATCCTTAATAATTAAATTATTGACTGTAAAAAATATATTTATATTTTTCAACATAAAGGTAAACTTAGCTCTCATAATAAATATTATTTATAACATAAAATCCTTCACAAAACTCTTTATAAGGTAAATTATAATAATTTACATCCTTATTATGTAGGTAGGTTTCCTTCTTCCTTTCTGAACTGTATTCACTAATCAATATAAATGCCTTAACATTATTATACTAGTTAATATTATAAAGAAGAAGCAGACATAAAATGACAAACAATATTCAAAATTTTCTTGTTATAAAATGTACCTTTTTTTAAGGAATCTTTAGGTTTCTTTTCCCGTGCTAGATAGGAACACCCTCAGATGCTCTAAAATTTTGCTTTAAGGTTGAATTCACATTTACATTTACACTGTCCATAATTTGAAACTGGCAGCTTTAAATCCCTAAATAACCAATTTTGTTTATCTATAAAAGTATCTATTGAATGATGATGTCCTTTCTATGTTAGGTAGACTTCCTTGCCGTTTATAATGAACAATTACACATAAAATTTTCCTCATTTGCAATTGAATTGTTGTTATTGAGAATATAAAGTTTATTAACTTGTGATATCATTACTTCTATAGTATATATAGCTCAAATAATTTGTTATTTAAAATTGAGAATTATTTATGCATTCATTTGAACATTGGCATTGTTCAACTATACCATAGACTAAACAATTGTTTTCTTAATCTATGCTAGTGTGTCGGTTTGATAAGAAAAGGTTGAAGTACTAGGTGTAATTAGACAATAATATGAAATCTATACAGGATGTGTGTAATTACTTTTATCAGTGGAAGATTTGTGGTTTAATTGATGCAGTATGGCAACCATCAGGTGATCCTTCTGCGCATTTGCTCCTAGGTAAAATATTTATGAATTTTTGTATGACGTTTTCTTAGACTTAATACAATTTTAAATCAGTCATAACATAGTATAACAGTTGGATGAAAAAGGAAAATTCCTTTAAATGTGGTATACAGTTAAGTAATAATTGTATGTCGTGAGCACCTGTGTCTAAAGTTTCCCCGATTCTCTCGCTCTTCCGATCGGAATTCGAAACCTGGCTGTAACAAAATCTTTCCAATTAGTGCCTATGTACACCTACTTGTCTATTAACTATATGCACAGTTGAATAAAAAGGTAAAATTGTTTAAATTTGGTATACAGTTAATGATAAACTCCCTCTGGCTTCGAGAGGCATAGTATTACCACTAAAAATTGAATAGTATCAAAGTTGATTCAGTAGTTTAGTAAGATAACGCAGCCAGACGAGCTTAAGTCATTGCTTTGTCTACCTACCTATTATTTTCGATAGTTTTAAATATGTATCAATCGGTCTTAGTATTAGGTATGTAGGTACATACCTTTTCATGTTTTATGAATCTTTTGTCACGCGTCCTTTATTTCGTTGTATGTAAAATGAAAATAAATAATTTGTCATAATTTTCCACATGAGTAACCTCTTGGTATTAATAAAGACCTTACGGTAAAATTCGCAGTAGTTTTTGCGTTGTTTACTGCGATAAGAAATATGGAAAACCGCATTTGTACGTATTATTATCGGCCCGATCTAAAATGCGGGCAAAGCGAAATAAGGTAACGCTTCTGGCAGTAAATGGAACGGTGTAGTATTTAGTCAGTAAGAGTCAAACAGAGCGAGAGTAGTTATTGGATCATATTTCACTTCTAATAAATACCATTTATTATAGTTAGACCCGAAAATTATGGCCTACAACTGTGAATGGCTATTGGGTCACATGCACAACATCCAAACAACCATTCGGTCAATTAGCAGATCCCCAAACCGCTTCCCCAGCGTGGGGATTATTGCAACTCCTCTCAGCCTTCGAAAGTCATAACATCACCACTAAATATCAAATCAAAAGTGATTCAGTAGTTTAGTAAGATAACGCAGCCAGACGAGCTTATATCATTGCTTGGTCTACAACACGGTAGAGGTCAGACACTTGACCTCCAATATCTGACTCATTATAACATCGGAAACAACTTTAAAGTTACCAAAAGTTAATAACTGCAAGTGTTAATCTCATTACTGTTTTACGATTATGACTCTTATTGTGTAAGTATTAAAGGTTGTACAGTTTTTGCTTTAATTTGAGCAATATTGACTGTTTTAATTCTCATGGGAGTGCGGAAGTCTGCCAGAATTAATGAAATCGATGTTTAATAGTTTACTTTATTTCGTACGCAACAAGAGTGCTTTTCAGTATTCGTTTATCTGGAATATTCCGGAACTGTTTTAAATAGGCTTTTATGGGCTTCGGAAAGTTTCTAATTAAGTATAATAACACTAGCGACCCGGCTTCGCACGGATGCAAATGTTCTTACAAAATGCTTGCACTATTTAATGGAACATTCATTAAACATATAAACCTTACTCCTAAATCACTCTATCTATTACAAAAAGCCACATCAAAATCCGTTGCGTAGTTTTAAAGATTTGACCAAGCTTAGGGGTATAGAGACAGAGAAAGCGACTTTGTTTTATACTATGTAGTGATAATATTTTATTCTATTTAATATTCGAATACGTCACAACTGCACCAATTAATAAACATGCGGGTAGTCCCTGCACTCTATGCTCTATGTAACAACTTTTTTAATGACCACAGACAACCAAGTACCTACGGGTCACTTTGACCTCAATAGCTATAAATAAATTAATGAATTCGTCGGTTTGTTTTACCGTTAATTTTTTGTTTCCGCTGCCATTTTTATTTTGGACGTAACTGCAGACCGATTCATTTAAAATTCTTGCATGTAAGTACAATCAAGCGCATTGCGTTTTGTAACGTAACTAAGAATTTACTACCATTTCCTGGTATTATGAATGTTAGATGAAGTTTTGTTGTGTAATGTTATAACAATTGAATAGATTTTTAATTTAGATGGTACTAGCTACTCTCGCGCGGTTTCACCCGCTGCTCGGCTCCACTTAATCGTAGCGTGATGTTTTATAGCCTATAGCACTCAGGAACATTGTAGCTATCTATCAGAGAAAGAATTTTGGCAATCCGACCAGCGGTTCCAAAGATTACTCCCTACATACAAACAAAGTAACTTACAAATTTTACCTCTTTATAATGTGAGTATAGATTTTCGATCTTTTGAATATTTTTCGATCGTTTATTTATAGCCTATTCTATTAAATGGCGTAATATTCATCATCAAATCACTTTTCTCGCTTGGGATGGGGCGGTAGGGGGTGTCATACTCTTACTGACTAAAACCCCCCTTTCCTTCTCCTGTTCCCGACTCAGACCGCGGTACCTTACTGAGTTTGCCCCGCAACCCTGGCAATATTAATTTGAAGTCAGATATCAGCCCCAGTCAAATACTATTATTGATTAGGTACCTACCTACTTAACCGATTCCCTAGTAATGATTGTTTCCGAACATTATTTCATATGACAGGCCTAAGTAACTTTTAAATTATTCCGAGTATTGTGGTATAAGTTTATTATTGAGTTGGATAATCAATTTTGATGAACTTGAAGTTCCACCCTCCGCGTCCATTTAAAGAATTTACGAAAAAGTTGTACAAAATATTATAAGTAAGCAGGTACTCTGTTTTGGCCGTGATTGTACATTGTATATTGTTATACCTAATTGCGTGTTACCTACCAGTGACGTGGTCGTGTTCATCTAGAATTCATTGATTTTTTACTCGAATTAATTAGCTATGTCAAACTATATCATAGCGCTTATATAATAAGTTAACTGAAGTCTAGTTAGACCTATATATCTAGTTTAGATTTTAAACTCATTTAGTATGATGATCACCATTTTTTAAATGTCTCTTTTTAGATTAGAGAATAAATGTTATAAGTAC